TAGGCCGCCTTCCTTCATACTTGGTCATTAATTGATTCATAGGATGTATTATTATTTTTTGTACTTCAGTTTTGTTACAACGATGTGCTAAGCATAATTTGCACAGCAACAATTCGTGCCTAAGAGGTATCTTCGTAGTATGGATGGAGAATGGAGGGCACTCTGTCACTTAGGATCCTTGCAATATAGCCCGCCACCGTGTTGGCTACGGCCGCGGGTGAAGCGGTAAGTGTCTGGAGGGCTAGAACGCCTTCACTACCGTGTGTATGCAACACGGGCACCCGTGGAGTTCAAATAGTTGTATCCAGGCGCAACAATGAAATTCGTTCAGTGTTCGTCGCCTGTGACAATAACTACAGAGGGAGAAGGCGCTTCAGTATGTTTCTCCTACACCTCAACGAAAGTTCAGCGTCGCCTATTGAACCGATGGAGTAAACTATTACTAATTTTCATGGCGGCATAGTCGATTTTCCGACAAATGCATCGACTGTTCAAATATATTGATACGTTTCCTCGAAATCGAAAAACGAGACAGACGTCAAGAGATGGTAGAGTCTGGCCGAGGCCAACTAAAAAAAAAGGAAATAAACGACAGTAATACAGCCTGCAAGAAAATGAAAATTGCGAAAGAAAGAGTGTCACAGATCACATGATGATAAGATTCCGGATTTAATTCATACGAGGTTAACCTAGCTCAATTGGCGGATCTAGCAAATTGGCAACATCGTCTTTTCTCTATTTAAACCTATGGAAATGTATCGATCTTTGGAGGGGTCAGGTGCTCCGACAAGAATCGATTATTTAGCGCAGGTTTAAATGGAGGAAATCCTATGTTGCCACATTGCTGGATCCGCCTCTGCCTGGCTCTTTTATGCAGAACTTGGCAACATGGGAGGAAACTGAGAGAATTGATTTAAAACAAATACGATGACAGAACTGTCATACTGCCGGGAAGGAGGTAAGTATTCAGAGGCTTACGAGCTGGTTTTTGGACGACAGAGGTGAGAACAATATGTTCGCGGTTTTATCAATGAAGTCTGGAGCGAGACTTCGTGAAGGCTGTTCGGAGCTTAATCACGCGGGTCAAGATCGTTGAATCATTTTACTCCCTATAAGGCTCGCGTCTCCTCAAAATAAACTTTAAATATTCCACCCGTCCATGTACAAATACTTTCACTCGGTCGATTGGTCAAGTGTCTCCACTTCCGAGACATAAATTAGCGTCGTTTCGGCACTTTTGGTAGAGGGGTTTGCTAAGTGCATGGATATTTTAGCTAACTTTCTGTTTGTTAATGAAATAAAATTCACACGAAAGAACTGTAAGAGGTAGGGTGCTGAGGGAACAGTTATTTATGTTATGACACAAAACATACCACCAGTACACCACCAGTACCACCAGTAACAGTATCCACCTCGATCAGGAAGGGACATGGGGGCTTCGCAGATTCTTGCTTCAAAAATGTCATGTACAGATTAACGCAAGGTGTACATTGTACAGTGTACACCCTATTTTTTGCCTCCTTCGTCCTTAATTTCCTAATGAGGAGGGGATTAATCCTCGAGCAGAGTTACAAAATTAGTTTGCCATGAAACTTATAGAGACAGTAAAACATTAATCTTTAAAAAAAAGATCCTTATTGAATTATCGGATAATTCATGCGGGTCGCATCCGCAGCCCCTTAAAAAGTCGTTAAAATTTCATTGAAAACGAGATTTTACTTTTCAGCAAAATGAAATTTACCGCATGAAGTAGACGTCAGATGAAAGGGGTTGCCAGTTAAATTTTTTACAAACTTTGCGCCTAGCGTTTGTTAACGAAAAAATCCAGCTTAATTTTCCGGCGAAACGAATCATCGAGCAAAAAATTTTTGCAAATTGCGAGGGTTTACAATTCACACTAACGTAAAATTGCAGACCCACATCACAGCTGTCGATTATCGGTAAAAACTCTTCAAATAAAATGCACTTGACAGGCGTAAGAAGTATAAACTTTCTTAATAAAACTTTCATAGTACAGAATCTTTAAATTTATAAAAAGAGATTTAGGTACGCTATAAAAATGTAAAATATTAAAGTATAAAAATATGTAAACATAGGTTTAGATTTTTCAAAATCACCACTGAACTTTTCATCTTCATAATTTTTCTTGTCATGACTTTATGGCCTTCATTTCATCATTCTGATTAACTTTCCTCACATGCACACCGATGTGATGCCNGGGGGGGGGGGGGGGGGGGGGGGGGGGCAGAGCAGCGGCGTGGCGTGAATGATCGATTATCGATATTTCCCCATTTGAAGCTGAGGTAAAGAATCAATTATTAAGGTGTTCGCTGCGAACACCCTGTTTTCGATCCTTTTCCATAGGTTTAAATGGCAGATCAATCGATATATCGCAAAGCACGCCAGGCCACCGGACCAGAGAGCGGCGACCCAGAGTGAACGACATGTTGTGCGCCATGGGCACCGTCCCGCACCGGCGATAGTTGTCAAATTGTGCTCGGAATCACACATAAAAAGTTATGTTCAGCTACAAAAGTCTCAAAACTGGTAACAGAGGACAAGTGAGTCAGAACTCGAGCCTATGACACCATAGGCATAGCCACGGCGGAGCAGAGGGAGGTGAGCAAGCTGCCATATCAAGCAAAACGCACAGGAATCGGGTGACAGACATTTTCATATTTTGTGAATGAACTTATGCTGAACCAGATGCAGCGGCGAAAAGCAGACAGGAAAGGCTTGCCTTTGCCGAGGACGAAATCAGCATCGACAAAGGTCATCGGCGGAGACTGGTCGCTTCAGGGGTGGACCGCCCGCGCCCCCATTTTCCAGCAAATTGGCAACATTGTTTTTTCCCTATTTAAACCTGTGAAAATGTATCGATTCTCGAAGGGGCCAGGTGCTCTGACAAGAATCGATCATTTAACATAGGTTTAAATGGAGGAAATCCTGTGTTGCCATATTGCTGGATCCGCTCCTGCCATTTTCAAGCGTTTCCCTGACTAAAGAGTGGAGGATGATCAGTGAGCGGAGAGTATTTCTCACACAGAGGGATCGTGGGGAAACTCATGAAAAAATTACGCCAGAGAGAGAAAAATACACGAAAAAATGTATTTCCATACATGAAAGAAGAACTCGGACAAACGTGCATAATTGCGCAGGGTAAAATAACTAAAGATAAACGGGGGAAAAAAAAAACTTGTAAAACAGTTTATGAAGAAAGTAATGTGAAATTCGTTTGAGACGAGATTTTTTTCAAAAAAATTTCATGCTTTAAAACTCCGTAAAAATTATGGACAAATTGTTCCAGATATGATTTTTTTTCTTTTTCTCACGACTTTCACGGGCATTTTAAATTATTATCATTTTTTTAATTTGCTATATGCAACCATTTTCGTTACGTGGCGCCGCAAGCCGTGCCTAGCTCGTAACCTAATGAAAAGACGCCTTCCTTTTTTCACAATTTTTACGGGCAATTTTAAGTTTTAAAAAAACGGGTTAATTTTTTTAGATTTTACACTTCGTTTCTCCTTGATACCCAAACAGTCGCTCAGTTAACCTTTCTTACATAGAACGCCGTATGAGCCTTTAGGCGTTGCCAAATTTCCTCCGATCAAATACGAATTTTCGAGGAAACTGCTGGATATTTTTTGTCCAATTTTTTAGACAACTTTGTACAGAATTCAATTTAAAATATCTCAAAATTCTAAGGAGAGATTTGCAGAACTTTCTCATAAAATACATATTTTATCCGGGGAAATTTGGCAACTCTTGAATGTTCATACGGCGTTCTTCCTTCAGCACGACGACAGTTCTGCTGGCTGTCATTCCCTCATACCCTCATCTCTTGTTCAACACTGTTCCAAACCAGACCCAACTTGTTCAATCTATCTTGAACTAAGAGCTAATATTTATTCGATTCGTGATATCGGAACGAAATTAATTTAGCAACAGAGCAGGAAGGGGCTATCGATGACGTTTTCAACAATAATATATACCTAAAAGGGGGTTAAGGTGCTTTGAATACCTATTTCCTTGATTTTTGCGACCATATAGTTTTTCCTTGATAGAAGGGCAGTTATAATGAGATTTTCTGTCATCGCCGCGGAATTTTTTGGTTGTAAAAAAACCGGTTACCGGTAACAAGAAGCTAAATGAGAACGAAGTTTTAAGTACTTAGTCTCAGACAGTTTATTCTTCTGCTTGAATTAAATACTGTAAATGCTTCTGCGTTTCAAGTATAACTCTTCATTTAAAATCTGGGTCGCCTCATTGACCGTTGATTTCGGATAAAGTAGACTAAAAATAATTCTGTACATGATGGTTCACGAACATTGGGTTTGGCGAAAAATATACCTATATGTTTGTTGACATCGAAATTTTAGAAATAGCTCGTTATCTACGGATTCAATTTTAAAAAGGCTAGGATGACATGCAATACTGCTTCAGGAAATTGCTTGCCACAGGTATTATATGCAGTACAAGTATAATCCAGTTATTGATTTTTTTTTTAAAAAAAAAAAAAAGTTTCCCGAAGACGGTCATAATTTACGAAACCCAACGAAGAGAAAGTTATTTAGGTACGAGGAAATTGAGCTCGTTTGGTGAGAAAATCATAAAACTCACTTAAATCATCCGCCAATCAGAGAATGATATGACTAAACCAAAACAGTGAAGCCAGGGGAACAAGTTTTTCTACTTTCAGAGTTGTACATTACTTGGTCATGTGCTCAGATTGAGTTTGCTTGAAGAAACAGGGTGACAATAGATAGGTATAAAGTACATTGACTTTCGATCGGCGCTCTGGATAATTTGGCTACTTAAACCTTCAATGTAAAATCACAAAATAAATTTTAAAATAAAAGAGATAAAAGAGGCAGAGAAAGAAGCCGATACTATAGAAGCGGTGGCGCGGAAAAACCATACAAAATTCTTGGGTAAAATCCCTGTTTCATTTTTTACAGTGAATTTCAAAGACTTTGAATTGGAATAAGGATCCTTACCCCGGGATGAGACAACCGTCCGTCTGCGACAGAAAAGCATCGCTTTCGGCTTTGGTGCAAGTCACGAACATAATTAGAGGGTATCACGTGTGCTCACATTCGAAAGGACGAAACGATACCGATTCGGAGGAGAAAACTGTTGGCGAACTGAGGATACCGGCATGACATCGCTGATGTGCAGAGCAGAGAACAAGGTCCACTGCTGCGCTCTGACGGAGCAGATCATAAATCATGACAGCGGCCTCGACGCGGATTGGGCGATGAACGTATGGCGGGAGAAAAAGAGCGCGCGAAATTTAAATCGACGCGTCCGTTCCTTCTCGTCCGTCGAAACGTTGCCGCTTCGCGCTTGTCGCACTGGAGAATGGGGTGACTGAAATATTCTTGATTTTTATGATTTTCCTGAATTCTACGGTCTTTCCGGATGTAAATCTAAGATTTTCTTTTTTCGTCCACAGTTCTTCGAGAAAATAAACCAAGATTTTCTCAAAAGTTAGGGAAGGAGGGGGAGATTAAATTTTTCATTTACTGTCTTGCTTTTAGAGCCCAGTCGACAGAGCATACCTACCAATTTGAAGCCGAAATCTAGCTCGGAATGGGGAGAATATGGTGTCTGCAATATTCTTGATTTTCTTAATTTCCTGATTTCTACTGACTTTCCGGATGAAAATCTAATATTTTCTATTTTCGTCAACATTGTTCGAGAAAAAACCAAGATTCTCAAGAAATTAGGGGGGAGGGGGATCAAATTTTCCATGTATTGTCTTGCTTTTAAAGCCCAGTCGACAGAGAATACCAATTTTAAGGCTACATCTAACTCGGAATGGGGAGAAAAGAAATTTCCAGTTTTTAGCACCAATTCCCTGGTTTTATGTTGGAAACGATTTACACAATGAGAGGTTTGGATATCAACTACTGGGCGAGCTATGAACAAGCATTTTAAACAATGATCAAATGGAAATTTGATTGTCCAAATGATGTCGTTTGTATTTTTGCCATTTAACTAATATTAATTTTAAACACTAGTAAGCATTATTAAGAAACTGATTTCCAGACTTCTCATGTGTACATCATTTTCCTCTAGATTCTGAGCAGAAAATATGTTATGTAGTGCTTGATTTCATACCTTGTCAAGAGGTCCATTATTAGAACTAGTGATATTGATCTATTACTTTTAATGCCTGCGAGCAAATTAATTAACATTGGGACTTCAACTTTTTTGTAACTTCAACTTTTGAGAAACTGCCAATTTAGCTGGGCACTTGCCAAGTTGAGAGAGTAAGAAGGGTACTTATGGTACACTGTAAAAATAGCCATCAATTACATTTATTTCGTGATTACCTTTATTCTTAAGATTAGGCCTGATCTAACCATGATGCATTGCAGGGAAGCCAATTGTAAGTTGGATCATTAAGTACAAATTTTGATAAAAACAATCACAGTGTTTATTTCTGAAATATATTTCTCTTCAATACAAAAGCTCTATGATTATGACAGCTCATGTCAAACATAAACCCTTTTACCAAAACATAGGAAATAAGAAAATTTAATTAAAAAAAAAAAAAAAAAAAAAAAAAAAAAAAAAAAAACCGAAAGCAGAAACAGCAGCTTGGCATTTCAATGATTTGTGCTCATAAACTATACTACGTTTCGGCACAGATTTAAGAGCATTACTTAAAATAATTGAAAAGAAATTGTTCAATATCTAACCACGACAAAACTACTGAGTGGAATTATGTAATAGATGCAATTTATGTATGTTTTTATCTCTTTGAAAGTATCTTGATCTAGTTAAAAAATTGACTGAAAATTACAAAAAGTGAGTGGTACAGTGTACAGGGTGTTTCAGACCACCCGTACCAGGCCTTTTTCTCGGTTGGTTTAGGTCGTACGAAGTCGAAGACCGCGGGGTTGAATAGGGAATTGACCCCAAGGAATCCGAATTTCGTGGTCCCGAAACCCCCCCACCCCCCCTTGGGAGGTAAAGGGGGGGTCACGAATCACGATGCTAAAAGTCACGGTTCCCGACCGAATTGCGGATGGATCGCATCAGAATTGAAAAGCACGGAAAATTTCACGTGAAATTGACCCCTAAAAATCCAAAATCGGACCATCCAAGGCCCAAAGATGATCCCCTAAATAGGGGGACAGTACCCCCCTCCATAATTTCTCTTTGGTCTCAAAATTGACGTAAATTCTCCAGAAAAAGACGGTTTCTCAGGTAATCGACCCCGAGAAATCCAAATTTCATGGTCCCGAAACTCCTCTAGCCCCCCTTGGGGAGTAAAGGGGGGGGCCAAATTTTAAAAATCGGGGCTCCTTTCCGAATCGCAAATTGATTGCATCCAAATTGAGGAGCAGAACACATTTACATCCTAAGTGACTCCTAAGAGTTCTAATAGACCCCCTGAACGGCAGAAAGTAACTCCCTGGGGAGGGGGGCCTCGCCCCCGCCAAATATTTCTCAGGATTCCTCTTTGGTCGCAAAATTGACGTCGATTCTCCAGAAAAAGACGGTTTCCTATGTAATCGACCCCGAGGACTCTAAATTTCAAGTTCCTTGAGCTCCTCGGGTTGGTCGCAAAATTGACGTCGATTCTCCAGAAAAAGACGGTTTCCTATGTAATCGACCCCGAGGACTCTAAATTTCAAGTTCCTTGAGCTCCTCGGGTCCGCTTACATAGGAAACCGTCTTTTTCTGGAGAATCGACGTCAATTTTGCGACCAAAGAGGAATCCTGAGAAATTTTTGGCGAGGGCGAGGCCCCCCTCCTCAGGGAGTTACTTTCTGCCGTTCAGGGGGTCTATTAGAACTCTTAGGAGTCACTTAGGATGTAAATGTGTTCTGCTCCTCAATTTGGATGCAATCAATTTGCGATTCGGAAAGGAGCCCCGATTTTTAAAATTTGGCCCCCCCTTTACCCCCCAAGGGGGGCTAGAGGAGCTTCGGGACCATGAAATTTGGATTTCTCGAGGTCGATTACCTGGGAAACCGTCTTTTTCTGGAGAATTTACGTCAATTTTGAGACCAAAGAGAAATTATGGAGGGGGGTACTGTCCCCCTATTTAGGGGATCATCTTTGGGCCTTGGATGGTCCGATTTTGGATTTTTAGGGGTCAATTTCACGTGAAATTTTCCGTGCTTTTCAATTCTGATGCGATCCATCCGCAATTCGGTCGGGAACCGTGACTTTTAGCATCGTGACCCCCCCTTTACCCCCCAAGGGGAGGTGGGGGGGTTTCGGGACCACGAAATTCGGATTCCTTGGGGTCAATTCCCTATTCAACCCCGCGGTCTTCGACTTCGTACGACCTAAACCAACCGAGAAAAAGGCCTGGTACGGGTGGTCTGAAACACCCTGTATGTTAAATCTTTAAGATTTTTCCCATTTCTAGATTTTAAAGCTGAGCCAAATGATTTAGATCTAGCAGTGAACAAGTCTTTACGTGTACGTCACATGATTCACGAAAATCCATGAATAACTTTTTCCATATTCAGCAGCATGTATTTTTAAACAGACTTAAAGGCATAACATGAAACAGTCAAGAATGGGATGTTTTTTCGATAAACCAGAGGAAGAAAATGAGGTAAAAACTGAGTTACTTTCTTGTAAAGTTGGAAAACTTAAGTAACCCTTCCACACATGGATTAAAAAAAGATTACATGCTGGAATGATATCCACCTATTTACACAATATTTTGAGGCAAAGCATGAAAAAATGATAGTCTAAAAACCTGAAACTTATTCCGCATTGCCAACAAGCTAAATTGGCAGTTTAGACAACCTCAAGTCCTGAGTAAATGTAAAACACTTTATTGAAGAAGGGAGAGAAAGAAAAATGATCGTTTTCAGAGTGTAAATATGTCCTCGGTGTGATTTTTCGTAAAATTTTCATTCAAAAGAACACTTACTAGAGGTATCTTGGTGGAAGATCTTTGTCATTTAAACCCAGATTTACTACACTAATTTTTTTTTCATTTATACATGGATAGATGTTCTGTAACCGAAAATTCTCTCCGCTATGTGTTCTTTTTGACCTTCTTGAGATACCTACCTGCTTTCCATTTTAAACTCCCATTATTTTAGTGGATTGTGAGCCAAAACTATGTAGGCACTAAAAATAACCTTTGAATGTCCTACTTTTCTTGTTTAAACACTGTTAGTAAATTCTTTATCTCAACCACACAGTCACAAACAAGGTATGAGTACCTGTAGAAAGGATCAAATTTCATGCTCATTTGTAAAAAGCCAGGAGCGATTAGTCAAAGATCCATTTTGATTCAGAACAATAGAAATCAGAGAGAAGTGAGGCAAACATATTTCACAGACTGTGGTCATTTTATTACAATCTCTTATGATATTACTGTTTGACATTATTGTACTTCATCAAAAATATTATTCTTCTGATGCTCGAGATGGTGGCATGAAGTCATTTACTATTCAAAAGAGTGGACTTTTAAGACTTCAGGACTAAAGCATGAGCTGTTCAGTCGGTAATCGACATTCTGATCACGATTGGCTGTGTACAATGGCTGCATAGGTTGATGCAGTTCATTAGACAATTTTAATATCTACTTTTTCTATAAAAGAAACATAGAATTTCTGTTGGGAATAACAAAGGACTTACAGGTACTGCTGATTTCAATTGGTGGTTGTGGAGTATGTCTTTTTGTTGAGGCAGTAAATCAAATATTAATATGTATTAAATCACAGTACTTTGGGAATGGCTGAAACACAAAAAGGAGAGGAAATATAATTTATTGACATAGTTCTTGTTGGGAAGGTTATGTAACAAATTTACTCCATAAAAAGAGTAAAATATTCTTTGATCTTAACATCAATTCTCACATCAAGCATGGCCTATTCTGCTGTGCTAAGTCGGTAGGACCACATTTTGCAATTAGGCACTACAATTGCAGGCTCATCCATAAAAGCATCTATTTGCATAGGGAAATTTACGGCACATATGCTACGTCTAACATGAGCCAATAAAAGTTACTAATTGCAAATTGCAATCCAGTTAGCAAAAATTTTTCAGTAAAACGCAAATGGAATGTGTTTAATACATGGAGTTTTACAAAGGAGTTGCAACTTTATCCATAATCGTTGGCATAAATGTTTGAATTTCGGCTTTTATATAAATTGTATCTTATTCTTTCAAAAAGCAGAATCATCAATTGCAATTAGTAGACTTGAGGATTAATATGGATTTACTGCGCTTTGATTTAGCACAACAATGTCCCAAGAGTGATATTTTGTACAGAAGTAAAACGCTAATTTTAAACAGTGCTATTAAAACAATGATTAAAAATTTAAAACATATTAACTTTAAAGTAAAGGTGCTTGTACATGTCTGGAAGAAAGTATTGAAATGTCTATCAATGAGAATCATTTCAAAACAGACATCTTACTGCAATGAGCAAACAGTTCACAGAAGAGTGCTTTCTCATGGATAGTTTCGTTTTTCCACACTTGTACTTGTGTAAGGGTGTTCCTTTGTGTGTAATATCAATTTACTCTAAGAGCACCCGTCTTAAATTCCTCAAAATTCAATATCATTCTTTCCAAAAAATGAAATTCTTTCTTTTTGCAGAAAATTTAGAACAAATACATTTGACACAGGATCATGGAGACAAACAAATGCAACAGTATATACCACTTCTCTGACATCGGCAAATGGCAAGCTATGTATGAGATTACAGGTCTAAGGCATTATTACATTGACAGCTGTAATGATGAGGCTTTGCACAATGTTTTCTTTCTTTTAATGCATTTTTGTAAAAAATGTAGAAAATAAGAATACCAACAAGATTCTTTTTTTCGTTTAAACAAATATTAGCTGAAAAACGACTTGCAAAGATTCCTAAGTACAACGGCATTTTAAAAGAAAACATATCGCACCAATAGATTCCATGGCATTATATAAAGAATCAATCCTCGTTTATCCTATCACCAACATTTGTTTTTTACTTTTGGGACACAACAGAGATGAGAGGTTACATATTCTGATAATGCTCGCGATGTCATCACTGTTTAAAGTGAATTTTTGAGCTGTTTTTGTAAAATAATTTTGTGTTTTTGTGATGCAAATTGATCAGTGGCCATGTTGTCTAGAAATCCTAGAGGTTAAAACCACAAGCTGTTGTTTTCTATGATGTTTTAAAAATCACGCCAATGAAAAATGAATTTTTTGATACTCAAAGTTATATTCTTTTCTTTTCAGAAGAAAAAAGGTGTTTTGGACCTTTTCAAACTCAGATGTATGTTTCTCGCTAATATTCACCCTATAAAGACCACTCTAAAAAATTCCTGAATCATACAGCAATATCATGAATTGAACACAAAGTAGTATTTTATTGCTTATAAATCTCCAATTTTTTTCTCTAAGAATCAATTATATTTGGATATTAAGTCAATAAATATCCTTACTTACCTAAAAGAAACTGAAATTCAGAAATCTGACTAGCAGTATATCTGACTTCTTCATCAGTCTAACGCTTATGTACATACTATTTACAAAATTTGATTGCAATTTTCTATTATTCTTCAGTTCCCACCAACACGAACACATGATTGCACATTTGTGGCAATATTTCTTTTATTGATCTGTGCATTTGGCTTCAGACGTCGAAACAGCAAAACATGAGGCTCTGTAAAAAGAAAATGACAGATAGGATTATGATAATCATCGGATAGAACTTATATTACCTGACGTACTTTAACAGCTTAGCTGTGGTGCCGCTTTGAATGGTCTGACATTGTGCTTTCAGATTTGATGCGATACTCGTTACTGAGGACATCCATGCAAAAGTCAGTCAATACATGGAGGCAGGCAATCATCGTCGAGGTGCTCAATTCTAAACTGCAAGCTTTGCATCAATCTAACTTTAATGTCTTCATGTTTTCTCCCACCATGCCCAGTTTTGTTTTCCCGATGAAAATTAGGGACTTTGCACAATCTTATGAGAGAAAATGACAGGCCATTCTGGTTACTCTTATTGTATGCCACAAAAGCACCTGAGTCCTAATCGTTCTATTTTTTTAAAAAAAAACAAACAGGGAGGATGGAAAAAAAGAAGACATTTTAACTATATTACCAGGTGTGTGGCACATGAAATGCACCCATCCAGGACTTTGCTGTACTCCTAAATTACGCCATTCAGTTTCAGTCATCAAATGAGATTTTGGAACATCTTTCGCAAGAGCTACTGGTAATATGACATGTCTGAAAAACAAAACAAAAAAAGGTTAGATAATGATTCAAATTCATGGAAATAATTTAGTTGAAGTCAGACACTTGGATTGCATTTTGCAACAAGGAACCACAAGAATTCCAATGTTGCTAAGATTGTGCAACTTTTTAACCTTGCAACTATAGTCTAATTCAAATTTATCTTTACCTTCAATAAACTATAAATTCAAGGCGAAAATTACCTTTGGAAATTTAACTTTTTGCAAAATGTCTGTGATTTTAATACAAAGATTGTAAGTTACACAATCTCAGCAACATTGGAATCCTCTTGGTCCCTTTTTGCAAAATGCAATTCACTTAAGGGAGAGTGAGTTAAATCTATCAATGTTGCTTCAAGGACTTCAATGGACTTGTAATAATCCAATAGCTGCCGAGGATTGACCGGAGCCCAACTAAGGGCAGAGTCAATCCTCATTCCTCCTTGGACTAGTGCATTGTGGTCGCTTGCAAACGGATTGTAAACAAGTAGTAGCCTTACTGACAACACCTCTAGCATGATACATATTTGACGGACAGCCACAAAATCAGGCTATGCTTATCCTAAGAATAACAATTCGTGTTTGGGAACTACAAGCGTTCTCTACAGAAGTTTAAGGATGGAATGCAAAGCGGTATAGAAAGATGGTCGCATTTCAAGTTGAGCTGCCACTTAAAGGCTGAGACGCACAGAGAGTACATGCTTAGCCATACAATCAAGATGTACCCGATAACATGTGACGTCAAGAGGGTACAAAATGCAACCACCATCCTTCATCCGCCTTGGATGGATTGAAAAATTGCTTTCACCTTCCGACTCCAAAGGAAGGAAGAGGGAAAGTTCTCTGGTTCACAGGTAAAACCTTTGGAGTCCACTGGGTAAAAAGCTACCTCTGAAACAGATTGAAGAAGAAAATGACGAAATGAATTACCTGTACTCATATGTATCATCATCGTAACGGTCAGAATATTGGATCTCTTGTACAGACATGGTAGAAAGGAATCCAAGAATTTGATGTAAGTTCTGTAACTAGTAAGACGCAGCTGCTGACTAATGAGTAAAGAGATACTTAGGAGGATGGAAACGTTTGGGTGGAGATTTTCAGCTTACACCTGCTCAGCTAATTACGGAAGGCCACGAATGACTCAATTCAATTTAAAAATTTTTTCCACAGCACAATTTCTAAAGACTACAAACAAGAAAGTAGTGGAGGCGGTAAAAAAACAATCAGAGCAGAGAGCGCCGAGCGGGAGCGATTGCGAACTAGCCAAGTTTCCGCCAGAAACTGTTTCATTTATCTATAAACAAGGAACGGTTTCTGGAACGGGACGGCAAATCAAATTCCGAGCAACGATTAATGAACTAAATTGTATCTGTTTACTTTTCTGCCCGTTTCATCACAAGGAATAACATGATAACACAGTAAGACTATTTTGAGGTTATGTTTATAAGTATGTAGTGCAACGTTTGTTTGAATCTCTCACATAAGTCCCTTTTTAAAATGAGTATCACCAATTCTAAAATTCATATGCCTCGCAAGAAGTTTAATATAAGTTTACTAAGCTGTTTTTGTAAGTAGCTGCTTTCTGCCACTCTCTTCATCATGCTAGAGAGCAAAATTAAAAGAGTTCCTGGTCGACTCCCTCCAATCTCGAGTCAAGACAAAGAGAGCCAGGTAGAAGATATCTCCAAATTGCCAAAATCTAAACTCCTGGAGCTTATCGACAGACAGAAGAAAATCGTGAACAACAGGTACTCCTTTTTTTATGCTTGCGGAATGCATCCCCCGATGCTCATGACTTCTTTATCTTTCATCATCAACTTCATGTATCTTTTGTCTGAAGAGCTTGCTTATTGCACTTATATTGAGACCAAAATTAAGTCATCGCCACATCAATTCACCCATGGAGCAATCTGAACGCATGCACTAATTTGTTAAATCAGAGTTTAGAGTTTCATTTTTGTGTCTAAAATTGATAGCAAGTTCTAGCTGCACAAGTTAAAGTAGGTAAAATAGATATGGCCCAGTCCTTACAGTTACCAAATACGTCTTGATGTAAGCATCAACCTCTAAAGTTGGATGAGCATTGAGATAATAACCTGTGAATTTATTTGTAAATATGCACATCACTGGGCAATCACAGGAAGTTGAGTAACGCTGACTGTTTGGCGTGAGGTAAATCTGTAGCTTAATAGTTAAGTTAGACATAGCAACTGTGAAACTACCAGACCAGCTCTCCTGTTTCTAGTGTTCAATAATCTCTGCTCTCACTTTATTTTTTTGAAGGAGAACAAATCAGTATCATTCCTCAAAGTTTATGCACAGTTTTCTTCCTACAGAGAAGGAAAATCACATAATTTTTCAAGAATTGAAGTCGTGTAGTTTTCTACTTAAGAAACAGAGTATGATAGGAAGTCTGTAACATCAGAAACGGAGATACGTGGTCTGGTAGTTTCACTGTTGATAGGAATTAATTAATGCCCTAAGTGGAGCCTTTCGCTCATGTTGTTGAGAGGATGATTATAGCACTGTTTTCACTGCTGTATGTCCGGTTGCGTAGATATTTTAGTATTAGAGATTGGATAGGATCCTTACCTCCAGGCAGAGGAATGATGAGCATGAGCCACCTTCTCTTAATGTGTCTCTTAGTTGTTTGCTTATGGCTCCCAGATCTATTCAACAGAATCCAGCTCCAAGTTTAAGGTGTTGTTTCAGCTAGAAAGATCAAGTTTCAACCAACAGAATCTTCAGCTGTCATTGTATTCTATCCTCGATAGCTGTAGCAATTTGTGCCTTACAAACTAATTACATTGCTCAGGGTATCAAGAGACCGTAATTGTTACATTTCGTAATAATAAATAAAAAAACATGTATATTCTCAATGTGCCCTAAAGCAAGAGAAAACCATGAAGTCTATAAAGTAATGCAAATTTTTCTAGTGGAAGATACTAAAGCATAAGAAAGTATGCAAACAGCAACAGTCACCATCCATCGGCGGATCCAGCAATTTGGCAACACCGGATTTTTTCCATTTAAACTTATGGAAACGTATCGATTCTTGGAGGGACCAGGTGCTCCGACAAGAATCAATTGTTCAGCATAGGTTTAAATGGAGGAAGTCCGGTGTTGCCAAGTTGCTGGATCCGACTCTGCCACCATCGTACCTACACAATATCCAACTTGGTAGAATGGTTTTTACATCCAATCGCCCTTTCAGATTAAGTAGCACATGAATTTACAAAGTTTGATTTTTCATGTAAGTATCAAATATTCATACAAGTCGCTCAAATTAAACTCCCGCATATCTCAATGAGCCAGCTATCATCATCGCAAGAATGACTGTTTCAAGAGCACTGAGCTGTGTTCAAAGATTTCAAATGTGGTTGCATTCCTTATCAGCTAGTCAAAGCTAAGTAGTTATAAGAGCCATCTTTAAGTAACAGAAGGATTGATTGATCTTGAGGTCATCACAGATCTTCCCCTTGTCAGTCTGACTGGACATTTAGTATCAAGAAGTTTTTATTCATACTCTGGCAATATTCTCAGGTTAATTTTTATCCAACTGATTCTCACATAGATAGCAAAAATTGAATAAATTTGGTCAATAATGTGTTTTAAAAAAAGTAAGCATCCCTTATGGACAAGAAACATGGCTAAGTAAAATAGCTTTTGTATCATCAAGACTGAAGAAAAGTTGCACTAGCAAGCCTTTATTAGAGTCTGAATAGACTGAGAAAGAAATTCTATAGGAAAAATTTGTAGATATTTCTCGTAGGTACTATTTTTAACTCATTACTCTTGTGCCTATCTCTGGTGGAGGAAAACATAGTCATTCCTCGACCCTTTTTTATTCGAGGAATTCCCTACAAAACTTTCAATCTGAATATGATCGAATGAAGATAGTTATTTCTTATTTTTCTATGCTACCCTTACTTTATCGAGCAGTTGATTTTTTTACTTGATTTTAATAATTAATATTTATTATGCCTTTGAATTTTTCAGAGCTTTTCTCAGCAGACTTCCGGATAAAGGTGCTAAAATTACTTCAAAGTATGAAAATTTACTGGCCGAGTTGAAGAAACGAGAGGATACAGAGACGAACCTGTGTAGTTTGATGTCAACTTTGGCTGTTGGTAAACAAGAAGTGGCAGATATCGAATGGACTGGAAATTGCAATCCGGGAATCTCAAGAACCAAGGCTGCTGACGAAGGGGCGGAAGATAGTGATTCGGAGGATGTTGATCCGTTGAAAATAATTGCCACCCATTCTGGCGCCGGGTTTGCAAAAAAGGAACTGCGGTTAGTATATCAAAGCCTAATAGTGAAAAATGAGTATCTTAATTTCAACGTACTCACAACTCACCAATTAGAGTTTGTTCTCTTTAATGAAGGTTAATCAATATATTTCCTTGCAATTTTTTGAGATTTTTAAAAATGAGTGAAGGCCATTAATAGAAAGTCTCATGGAAACTGTTGTTTAGTTTTCCTGTAAAAGAGTGAAACAAGAAGAGAGACTTTCAAGAACTTTCCAATCTGAGATACCCACTTTCCCACTTAAATCATTGATGCAAGTTTGAGCCTTTAATTTGTATTAAAATAAAGGGAAGATCAGATGTGTATGATGGAGCTTAGTTTTAAACTTTGCTGCCCTTGTTGATTTTGAATTTTTTTCCTAATAATCGTATCCAACTTCTATGACATGAAAGCAGAGTTTAAAAAGAAGGAAAAAAAAAGAAAGAAAAAGGATTTCAGGAACTGTACTAACCCAGAATCTCGAAATAGAAGTTGCAATTTTGGCAAAGTGGATAGAATAATCTGTATCCTCTGCATAAAATCAAGGATCTCATTCATGCAATTATGCAAACATGATTTTAAGGATACCAAAATGAAGAAACTTTAAGAGAAGAAAATAGTTGGTATAACCTATTTTCTTGATTTTAGAAACAAGGAAATATCTGCAGAAATTATAAGCTCAAGAGATCCTGAAGTTATTTCTAAAGTCTTATCACTTTCACTAAGTTTATTATTTTCTGATTTTGTTTCAGGATTGAGAAGCCACAGGAAAGCTTAATAAAAGAATCAGATTTGAAAGACGATGATGCGCCAAATAGACTTGGAACAACAAATGAACAAGAGGAAGAAGTAGCCTCAGCTTTGAGAAATATTGAAGAATATGCAGTTCATTTATGTGAGAAATTTGATGTAACATCTCCCAAAAAGGATGAAAAATTTTATCCGCATAAAACTGTCAAAGAGAAACATGTAAATAAGTCCAAAGAAAGTTTGAGTCAGAAAGACAAGCCGTGGTGGGAAGTCACCGCTGCAACACCTCCTCTTCCTGTCCATGAAACCGTTAAAGTTGTTAGTCTTAAAGAATCCCTCGTCATACAGCAAAAACAAGCTGAACAGTTAAAGGTATAATCATTTTTATTGTATTCATATTTTTTTTTTGGACAAGTTGTATAAACAGAGCGTTGGTAATTTTGCCAAAATGCGCTTAGATTCAGTCCAAACCTGATGTCTCATCATGCAGAAAAAGCTCATTTAAGTACCAATTTCTTTCAAGATAGTTATCAACGGTGTAAGTCAGCAATCACATAACTTGGTTTGCGACGTTGCAGACTTCCTTTCATACTTTATTTTTTAAACAGAAAACTACTCAACGGCAATTCTTTAAAACTTCTGTAACTTTTTTTCTCTGTGCAAAGAAAATTCTGCATAAACTTTAAGGAATGATGTCAACTTGCTCTCCTTTAAATAATAACATAGAATCGGAGTTTTTCAGACACCGCAAACGAGTTATGTGATTGTCGACTTACACAGTCGTTATGCTGTCAGGAGCAAACCAGTTAGATCAATCAGGGAAGCAGCTGCAGACGCATTTCAGATCTAATATGACCCAGCATCAGTGGAGCACAAGGATATTATGATTGTCTAACACCTATCTTAATTGAAATAGTTGTCAATCAAAACTTTTCTTGCAAACTGACTTAAATTAAATATTCAGTTTGTTTTTTTATTTTACTTTACTCACTCTTTTGAACTGTGATAAAACCGGCTACAGTTTAAGGTGAATCCAGGCTCAGAACTTCGCGATTTGGCCACCACGTCGCGCTGCTCAGAATAGCCGTATATATTTGCCAAAATAATAAAAACCGTAATACTTATTCAAGATTGGGTATCCAGGGGATATAGCAACATACTTGAGGAACATTCAGTAAAAAAATCTTCTCAAAATTCCTAAAAATAAAGTCGTAACTACGGCGGAAAGTAATGCCCATGAGGGAGTCGGTTGTGCGCTCGGCCGCCGCCTCTGAGCTGAAAGTTTCAGCCGTACTTTCTCTGCGCTTGTAATTCTAATTGCCAATATTTTTGGCTCAAAAAATCAAGCAAAAAATAATCTATATCTTGTGGATCTGCTTTTTGTAATTTGAGGAATATTATTTCAGTAATCGTAGAAGGAAAGTGAAATTCTCAGTGGTGACTGATGGCGCTATCTCTAATCTTGAATTATCCCTAATCGAACCCTGGATTCACCTTAAGTCAATTAGTTTGCAGAATTTTCATCTGATCTGTTTTTTTACTCACTCATACGTCTGTTGTAAATCTTAGGAAAAAAGTGCAAAATTTGACGGAGTTTTGAGAGAATTTAATGAAAGTAAGTAGAAATAGGAAATGGCTGTGGTGAAACTCTTCTTATTCCCGAGTCAAATAAGCAGAAGGAACGGTCTCATAACTTTTTCAAACATTATTCTATGATACTAACTTAAATCAATGTTCCAAAGATCTCTTTCCAACTTTTGTCAGATCATGTTTCCCAGGTATTGGAGGATATTTTGAAAAATTAGACCATCAGATTTTGACACTTCAGTTTCTTTGCTAATGTAAAAATTTGTTATCCTTATCATGACTTTTTTTTCCGACCTCTTACCATTGCGATTTTTAACGCACCATTCATTGATCTGTTCCAGGAAGTACAAGCAAAACATGCTGCTGAACGTTTGACCAGGATGCGTGGAATATTTCCAGATTCAACCTCTGTACCTTCAAATTACGGTGACTATCGAGAACAAAAAGAGGTGGACTCTGATGGAACCTCTGATGACGAAGAAAAAGAGTGTCTGGATGAGGAAGTTGAACGAGAAAGGGATGTTGCTGTATTTTATAATGTCGTCGATTAACAGCAGGTTTGTTTCCATATTCTGGAAAATTATATCTTGTACTCTCTAGGAAAGTGTTTGCTCTCAATGCCAGTCGGTTCCTTGTGCACATTGTTCTTTTAGGAATTAAAAAACTGAAAGGTAAGTTGCATTTTAAGCGCATAAAAATGATTTTTAATAAGATTGAATTGCCCAGTTTGACTAAGACTTCAGAGGAATGGCTACCATGCAGAATTTAGGTCATCATTTCAGATTGTTTAACATTATTTTATTGAAATTTCTTAATCTAATTCATTTTCACAACAAAATCTTTTTTAATTCATTTTATAATATTCAATAATCCTTTGAATTCAGGAGAAGTGAACAAGTAAGTGCTAGATGCTCAGTATTTCAGTCTGGGGACAAATTGGTGCAGCATTTTATTCAATGAACCATGAACTCGTTTACAAACGCTTATTCCTCTCAATATAAAGGTGCTGAGTGCAAGATATATTTTTCTCAGTTGCTCTGTTTGAGAATTTCAGCAAATATTCTTTAGAAGAAATTATGGAAAAATCATCTAGAATTTAGATTTTTCTCTTGGACATAAATTAGCGGCAGAGATTCTGACCAGGACTTTGTACTGTTAATAAGATTTTGCTGCTTTCGAGTAATTCATCTTGTGAGGAACATTATTCTAATACCAAATCTAATCCCCTAAAAGTGTTCCATGCTGTAGTAGACATTGAAAATATTTTGGAATATACAAGTAAAATACTTTCAATAGTAAGCCAAGAAAAAAAAGCTCTTTAAAAAATGCATTATAAAAATCAAATAATGAATCTCAATAGATATAATTTTCTCTGAGAGTATTCAAACTTCTTCCCCCCCCTCCCTCCCTAGGATTTCTGCATTCTTTGGGTCACTGTATGAGGTTTAAACCAGAAAAAGAGTAACCTATTTTATCTTTAAAATCTTATGTGAAAACGATTCACACAATGGGAAGTTAGGAAGTCAACTCCTAAACAAGATATTAACCAGCACCTATTTTTTACACAGATCAAATGGAAGTTAGATTATACAGATGCTGTCATTTGTACTCTTGCCATTTAACTATTGTCAATTGTGGACACCCAGACTTGTGTTGATTCGTAGATTTTTCATAGCATGTTTATTTTTCCTCGTGAAATTTTGTGAAAAGAGAATTAGCCAGGCAGTGCTCTATTTCATACCTTGTCTATTTAAGGTCATTAAGTAATGAGTTTCTTCAGAAAACAAAATAAACGTTAAAAACATGTGGTGTCTATTTTCAGGGAATAAGAAAAAGGCAGTATGAAAACATCTAAAAAGAATCATTTATTTGCTAAATTTTTAAAGGATATCTACATTTTTAAATTACATTTAAAGACTAATTTTAACCGACTTGTATTCTTGATTGTCTCTCTTTGTTTACAAAAATCCTATTTTCTCTAAAAAATTGATCATCTTATCGAATGGTTGAGGATGCTGTTTTAAGTTTGTAGTTTTAAATAAATCGACTCAGGAGTACTCATACTTCAAGTACTGAAACATATGTTACTATCATTCTATTTGGGGTTGTTCACAGCGCCCCTTAATTGCCATGTCTTGGTGCATCAGTAAAACTTTCGCTTGTTGTGTTTGAACTGATAGAACAATCATTTGTCAATAATAGTGAAAGTAGATCCATTTGGTCACTGCCTAGTTCCTGTCCTGTCCAGTTCTCCTCTGCTAAGAAATCTTCTATTGTTCTTACGCTTGAGATTTCCAGGCTTGGGTGTGTGTCATTCTCAAAGTTTGCTGTGCACTGTCGCGGTAAAATTGATGCACTGATTGATGTGAAATCTCTCTGAGGTGTTGCAAATCTCTTCCGTTTGCTCTCTTTACATTTTCTCGTGCTTTGTTCTGGATATTTAATGTCACCTTGTGACGGTGTGTGAAGGGGATAACCCTTGCAGTCACTAATGGGTCTGCCACAAGAGTCAAAGCGTATCAAAGGATTCCCATCAATATCAAACAGAGAATATCCATTTTCATCTGTGACCGGAAAGCCTTCTTCATTGTAAAGAACCAATGGTTTTCCTTGCTCATTCGTTAGCTGCACCTTAAATGGATTGTGTTTTGACGGTGCATAGGGATTAAATTTATAGCTTGTGCTTGGTTTACATCTGGCGTCAAATATAATGTTTTTGTGATTATCTAAAATAGGTGTTCCATTCTCATCGAAGGTAACAAGGATTTCTCCATAAGCATTTTTTAAGGGCTCTCCATTGTTGTTAGTCAATGGGAGTCCATTGTAATCATATAAACGCATAGGTAAATTCTTTATCTCTCTTTTAAAATCGATGATCCTGTCATGCAGTCTCTCCCTTGAATTATTTTCTTTTAAAAATTCATTTTCATTTCTAAAAATTTCCTCGTCAAATGCAATATCTGTTGCTGTAACCTTTGATACATCTCCTGTTGTTTTACACAAGTCATGATATCTGATAAAGTGCAATGATGGGTCCTGATAAATTTCTTCCACTCTTTTCTTACTTTCCATGAAGGAAATCGTCAATTGTGCTTTCGGATAAACAACTTGTGTCATTGTTTCAACTGGACAAGGAGTTAAGTTTATAAATTGCTTTACCTTGGTCAGGATTTTTATGCTAACTGTACTTTTTCTTGCTTTGAACTGAGTTCTTGGTCGTTTATGTTTCTCATGTTTTCTCTGTTTGAATGAATTGATTATTGAATTCTGATTAATTTGAAAGTTTTTTGGTATATTTTTTGATTGAAGACGGTTTTTCACCGGTGTTGCTCTTTGATTTACTCGAAGGTTTTCATTGTTTGCATAATTATTTAATTCTGATTGATCATTTTTCAAATCTGCATTTGTTTTAACATTTTCTTTTTTTGTGGCATCCATAGCACAATCAAAGTAAAAACTTGTCAGTGGTGCTGAAACATTATCAGACGCACTTAACATGGTGTTGGTCTTTTGTAATCGTAGCAATGCCTCATTTTTTTCATTGGAAGGTACAAACTTTTGATTATCAAATAGAAGGTTGGTGATCAAATCTCGCCATGACTTTGCATCCAATTTTGTTTTTGTATATTCTGTGTTCATCGGTGTCCTCTCAGATTTTTCAGATAGATGTGTGCTCTGGTGGTTTTGCAAAGAAGAATTTGAAATTCTTTTCTCAGGTTTTCTTATGTTTTGTCTTTGATTCACTTGAATATTTTCTTCTCTCTCAAAAGTTGTAATGAAATTTTCAGAGCTGGTAGAAGAAAAGGTCTGAGTTCCACTTCCACTATCAATTTTATTAAATAAACCATGCCTATCACTTAAATTTATAAGATCAGTAAATGAGAGAATGGCATTTAATTCATATTGATCAAAATAATTTCTTCTGGCATTCAGGTTTTGTTGTTTCATTTTCATCAAGCTATTATTGTTTGCTGCACATTTCATGCGGGAAGTATCTGAATCATTAACATTTTCATGTATGATTTCAGAATTATCCAATTTTGCATGTGATATCCTGTTGACTTTGCTCTTTTCTGCGGCTAGTTCATCTAATTGAGAGATTGGGTTCAGAGGATTAGGAATCAAAGAAAAGGAGTGGGAATTTTTTAGGAATATAGGTTCCGGAATTCGAAAACCCAAATTCAAATTTTGGTCCGTAACATTGCTATTGAGATATTCTTTGTTTTCATATTTCGCATTGTTGCTCTGGTTGAAACTGTTTTGCCAAATTTTCTTTGAAGTGTAGTCTCTATCCAAGTTAATGAAGTATGAATTTCTTTTAATGCAAATATCGTTGTTGTTTTTGCTTTGAGTTTTGCACACAGTGAATGGACTTTTGCATAATCTTTGTGGATAATCATAATAATTTGGTGTAAGCTGCAAACTAAAGACTTCTGACATTATGTTGTCATTAATTATGCTTGATGTTGCGCAGTCGGTTAAAACATCTAAAGAGTACTTAGATAAATTTTCACCTCCAGCATAATGTTCATTGCAGTTTGATCTGATCGGTTGCTGTGATTCATCCTTCAAATTAACCTCAGTTCTGCGTTGTCCAGATCTTGTCTCACTTTGCGTGACATGGTTGAAGACCACTCTACTTCGCCTTGGTCTCAACATTTTCCTCTTTTGCTTCAAAGATTTGACTGCGTTGGCCACTACGATTCTTTTTCCTCTAAAACTTTTTTGGTTCCATTTATTTCTTAAAGCAGTTTGTACCATTTGTTCTCTTCTGTCTGCTCCGTTTGCTTGAATATTTTCCAATATTTTGTGTTCATAAATGGGGAACTGCCGAGTAATTTCATGAGTAAAATCTGCCGAGTCTGTCTGAAATGGGATGCCATGTAAGATTCTTTCCACGTCATTTTCACTTTTACTCTTGATACGAGCAGGTCGCAAATTTTGAGTGTTGACTTTATTGGAGGTTACCAATTCAGGATTTATATTTTCCTTATTTTGACCTATATTTGTATTCTGATATTTATATTCTGCTTCAACATTATCTATTTCTTCACCATTATTATTTTCGTGAATAGGACTTAAAAGTTCTTGCGTCAATGGTTTTTTGTGAATTGGAGGCGAATTGTGGTTGAGTGAATACTTTTTTTGGAACTCTTGTTTTTCTTTATATAAGCTACTTGATACATCAGCATTTAGTAGCTCTGACTGGTTTAAGTCTCCCCCATTCACTTTTAGTCGATTACATCGAAAAATTCGACATGAACCATTTTTTAATTGACTTGCATCCTCTATCAACACTTGTTCCCTCTCTGTTCTTCTGGATTTTAGAGTGCCAGGATTCATATTTTTAGGATTGGATTTCACTGTACCAAATTGTTTTTCTCTTATTTGCTTCAGATGCTTATAGGACTCATTTTGCAAGCAGTACACCATCATTTCCAAGCGTCTCAACTCACGAAGTAATTCTTTGTCACTTACCTTATATTCATCTCTACAGTTGCAGTTTGGCTTATGTTGCAAGCAACTTGTGCATCCTTTGAAATTTTTCTTATCATTTATGGAAAGATATCCCTTTTTTATCTGCAATGAGTCCTTCTCGTCGCTACAATATTTAGAACCAATGACTTTCTCCACCGTTGTAACTTTTTGATTTTTATTCATTTGCTTGCCGTGTGGAATTTCATCTTGACACAAGCTTTGAAGATCAAATTTTTTCGGACTAGATTTTTCATTGCTGTCTATAGGTTTCAGATTTTGTTCTAATTCTGAAAGTATACTTTGGTTTTTTAAGCAAAGTTTATTAGTTACTATATTTTGATCTGTTGCTGTGATTTGTTTTAACTCATCATCCGTGAAGCATGTTTTGTGACTGCATTCAGTTGAATCATCCCCAATCCTTTGGAGGAAAGTTCTTGATTGTTCATTTTTTGTCATCCTAGTTTCATCTTTCCTTGTCCTTAGTTTTATAAATTCATTTGAAGGTGGAAACTTAGTCAAATTTACAGTTGAGCACAAATTCTTCAATCTCTCATTACATTTTAACATTTCTGGCTCTATCAAATCCTTAATATTGTGGCGATCCATGCCTTTTGTTTTCTTCAAATAGTCCTCCAAAAGTTGATAAATCTTCTTCAACAATTCATCCTCTTTTTCACGGAAAATTTGGGTTTTCTGAAGCACAGTACACCCATTGTTCCGATTTGAATCGAAGTTTTGCACCAGACATTTATCCAACTTTGTTTTGCTCTCAAGTTCTTGAGCTCTTAGAATGCTGTGCAATTTTGAACTTTCAGGCACATCTTTTTGTATTATTTTTTGTGACTTAATTATTTCTAATTTTGATCGCTCACTTAGGCAATTCACTTTCCTCGGATTTTCACTTGCTTTTTGGGTTTTCGCTTTAGTCTTAAAATCTTGATCAATCATCAAATCGTCCGGTTCCGTTATCTGAAATTGATTGCCATCTAATGGCTCTACTTGTGACTGAATGTGTAGTGAAGTTAATCGTTCTGAATCAGCATCCGCATCTTCAGTCAGAGTTTTCTTATCACATTTTCCTACGCTCATGGAATATTTCTCTTCCATTATTTGGGGCTGAACGTTATTTAATGCTTCCATCCGTGTTAATTCATTAAACAAGCTCAGCTTCCTATGATCGGTGTCAGCATTTTGTGTCAGTAACCCTCCATTAAATTTTTGAAATCCTACTGAGTCTCTGCCTTCCATGGTCTGAATTTCAATGTCAATTTTCCCCTCTGTTTGTGAATATGTGTGTTCCTTTGGATCAGAACCATCGTTTGTACCCTGTATATCCTGTCAGTAAAGCAAAATCATTTAATGACCCTTAGAATACGTTAGTTATGCTAGTCACCGGATTTTTTTTTGATGGTTTAAGCTTTTTGATCAGCATATGATAGTAACATCTGTTGAAACGCCTAGTCCTACATTCAACTTTGATAGAGATATTGCTCATCAAAAAACACAGCTTATGACGTGACCCAAGCAATTCTTGCTTGTAGATAAGCCTAGACCACCAAAACATGATTGTATGGACTAGCTCAACTGATATTCATATTTATCAAGTAGCCACCTCAGCGCACTAGAGCGCTCTGTGACTCCCAATCTCCTTTGGAATCGATCTTCCCGCAAATCATCAGGCAAATGACGTCTGGTTTTCCTCCTTGCAAATTACGTTTTCTGATGGCCCAATCAAACTTCCCATCTCGGGTCAGCCATGCTCCAAGGTATTTATATTCTTCACATCCGTTGATGTACCGGCCATTCTCGAAATCTTTACCTTGCTGATCACCACCAATAACTTATTTTTCAATTTTGGAGACACAAACATCCAGGCCCCTCAGCTGATGGCTCATTATTTTTCAGTTTTTAATGATCATTTTTAAATATAAATCATTAATTAATTAATTAGTGGCAGACTGTTTTTTGTTTTCAGGATGGACCCAGCTTTCCCTTCACCTGTCATGTAAAAATAGGATCAGTTGGAGTAGGTCCATGATAGCTGTCTGAAAATGATTACCACCTATAATGACAGTAAAGGTAAGTCAAATGTTGGAGTTTTTATTTCACTCTGCCCAAAAAAATGGCCTATCCTCCTTCATGAATGGCCCTTTGATGGAAGCTCATTATTTTCAGGAAAATGGGTTGAACGTGGTTTGAAACCTAAAACCATTTGAATTTTGGAGGAGTCAATAGTTTTGACCCTATGGATTGAGATGCATCCATTCTTAAAATATGAAAATCACTACAAAAACCACTCAAAGTAAAATATGCAATTGCCAGAAACGGCTTTAAAATATTTTTGTCAAAAATTTGCGCCTAGGTTTTGCAGGGAAAACTTTCAGGCAATTTTTCATAGTTCAATAAACCTTTTAAAGGCTTTGTACTTAAAATATTTTTACTCAAGTTTTTAGATTGAAAGGAAAATTAAAAATTGACTCTGGTAGTTATTGCACTTAATGCAATGGTCCAAGTTGAAATGAAAAAGAAAGGTGGGGTGGGGAAGGAAGAAAGAATATAAGGGAGGCACTTTGTCCAAGGATCTTATGATTTCCTCAGAGTGCCTTGTGTAATTTAGCTTTGACAAGACTTACCAAATTTATATTTTGACAGGCATCTCCTATTCGCCTGCTTGCTTCTTCTGCAGACATATTTGCAGGCATAGTTTTTAGTTTGGCACACATATCTTGAATTTTCATGAGCACCTGTGATGAAATAGATGAAACTTCGTAGATAGAGTTCTCTCGCGTTCTATCATCCTGGTGGTGTCTCAAACTTTTTTTTAGTTTGCATAATTCGTAAAGAATCTCAAAAATATGTTTCTTCGAAATAAGTATATTTATTTTTATCTTCACAATGATTTTTCTGTGACTTCTTCCAACATTATATTTCTGAAGGTGTTGTCGAGGTTCATGAATCAATTCAGTCACGTAATTCAGTATCACGAAATACTCCTCTCGCAATTTTTGAGCTTGTTTCTCAGCTGCTTCAATCCAATCGTGGCTGACTTTTTTGCTTCGCTGGTCACAGAACATTTCAAAGATTTTGCAGATGATTTCTTGTAACATCGATAGACATAGAATTAATTCACACCTGAAATTGTGCTTGGTCTTTTTTGCCTTACTCATAGTGGGCAAATGCAGTATAGTACGGAAGCTATTTGAAGTTTCTGAATGACAATTGGTGCTGTATTCAGAAAAGGTTGAAGACATGTAATTGCTTGAGTCTGTACTGGGGTAGTTACAGTTTGTTTGTTTTTGATTCGTTGGTCTTGGTTTATCCTTATTTACAATCAAGCAGTGTTTTCTAAACTTGTTAGAGTGATTCGCAATAATTTTATTTATTCCAAGAGATTGTATTAAAGTATCAATAATATCAGATATTTCCAATTGACTTCTTTTATCATTGTAAGCAAAGCTACGACATTTTTTACAAATGTGATAATAAGTCTTACTATGGAAGATGTACAAGTCGTCCAAATCGTCCAAAATGTTTCTCAGTAGTTGTCGCAAGGCTTGAAGTTTCCTCAGTATTGAACTTAAATTTAAGAAGTTTCCCCCATTGACCTTTTGTTTTGAAGGTATTGTCTCAAAACTGAGGTATTTAGTGACTCTTGTTTCACTGCTTGAATATTGATCCAGCGCTATTCTGTGCTTGCTCTCCAAATTTCGTGAATTTTCGCAGTATAAGCTCAAGAATTTCCCTTTCCTTGCTTTCCTTCGTGAATGAAGTCTACATTTTTCATTTTTAATGGACCATTCCATCGATTTCACAATGGCATCGATTAATTTCATCTCATCTGAGAATTTGCTATCAACTTGAGGTCATTTTCTAGGGGAAAAAATGAACTAGAAAAGAAGGAATTATGAAAACAGAATTAGAATCAAAATAACATTCCTTACAATGATTGATACTTACGTATCCTGCTAAGCTATTTTTACTGATTATCTAAGAGTTTATTTATTTTCTTCCAGGTCTTGTTTCAATGCGATGCCACTTCATTGATGAGGATCAGAAGTAACCAAAATAGTATGGGCTCAATGATCTCGCCATCAACAATGGAAGTGTAAGTTTACCAAGTGAGTTTAATTTTTTTTAATCGAATTTTTTAACTTAATTTTGTAAATGTCTAAAGTTATTTGTAAATTTAGTTGTTATTTTGCCTACTATTTTGTTTGTACCTGGGAATAAACAATTTTTATCTTTTTTAATGATTACAATCAAATTCGAATTATTTCATTATTTTTTTGGAATCTATCTTGAACACTACTCAATAATAATTTTTGGAGCTATTTCAAGCAAAGCACCTCGCACTGCTTGGACAGAAAATATTTATTCCGAAGCTCTATACATCTAAAAATCTAAGTGATGACCCCACGATGAATAGCATATTTGATGTAATGGGGCTGTTGCATTATCCGGGAATTGCTAATAAAATGGTGTAACCTATATAAATTTTAGATTGGATAAAAAAAAGCATAAAAAAGCTCAAAACAACTATTTTTACTTACAAAAAAGGACTTAAAGTTTTGGTGGTGTAGAATGTTTCTCATTGGCTTTCTTCTTACGACGTCATAAAAGGTGACAACCCATTTTTTCAACCGCTGTGAATCTAATACATCATGGCCGCTGTATGGCCGGAACATATATTAACAATCGCAGGTGAAAGCATCACAGCAATGAATGATCCTTGTGACGTCACAAAATCTGTTGGTGCAATATTTTTCTATTTGAAACAGAGTTGAACTTTTGGCAACTTTGGAAGTCGTTTTCCCATTTAACATTTGATTAAAGGAAAAAAGGTAAATTATGGGCCTCCTCATTTTTTTGTACTTTATTTTTTACCTCATTTTTTTATGTACTTTACGAAAATGAATTTAAGAAGAAAATGTGCTATAGCCCCAATATGCACAAGCACATGCATTTTGACCTTTTTACAGTGATGAATCTTCTGATGATACCAATTATTTCCTTAGGATAGATAGAGCGTAACAATAGAGCACTAGACAAGGGCGAATTCAAGCAATATGATTTGTTTTCTTGTTCTCTCATCAAAATATCATGCAGAACACGATTTGTGCAGCAAAAATCATTGAGAGTAACTCCTAACCAAGATATTAACCATTTTCCATGTGTAAATTCAACCTGCAGGCTCCTTAAAAAATCATAATGTACTTGAATTAAATCACATACTGAACATTACCAAAAACAGTCTCTGTGGTATGAAAATATGGCAACCACAATCTTGGTACATTGCACTTGTTGCGCCGTATATACTTTGTGCTGAATTTAGAGGCCTGCCAAAATTTGTCGTAGTGGGCAATATGATTCATATAGATTCTGGTTTTTCTCGTTAGTGGTGAATTCAAATTTTTGGTAATGAGTGCTAAATAAAAAAGTCAACACCTATCTTGATTGGAAGTTCATTACAGTAATTTTAGTTTCTCAAATCTTGTTTTTCATACAATTGTGAAGAAGAATGGTATAATTCGTACCTTACTCAGTCGTCTATTACTTTTGAGATGAAACATATTTCAAAAATACATGAGGCAAACGGCTGTGCTTGATGGCATCAGTTTAATAAACATTACCCAACCTTTTCTCTAAGTTTGGAGCTTATTTTTAAAATCCCTAGTTGATTTTAAAGTTGACATTACATTGAACAACTCTGTTTGTAAAAAAATTGAGCAACAGCTTTCATCTTTAAAAGAGGCAATGAATTTTACTTAATGGATAAATCTGATGAAAATTCCCAGGTAATTATTCCCATGAAAGAGAAAAAAAATGAACATTTAAAAGCAAAGACCGCTCTGAAAGAGGGGTGTTGATGCAAAGTCCTTCGTTTCAAGATAATTGCATTAAAAGTTTGCTTCAGTTGCAGAATTTCCAAGTGCATAACCAAGCCATCTAAAGTAGGTCTCTTTATGTGGGCGTATCTTATGTTAAAAAAGTATGAAAACTTCGAACATGAACTGCTGGAACATAATATATGAAATATGCCTCTTCTCTTTGAGAAAGATCTTCAATTGTGATGAAAATAGTTTTAACAGTGCAGAGTTAAGCTAAATGTAAGGAATTCTAATGAATTTTTAATTTTAACACTACTTGTCTGGTCAAGGAAATATTTCCCGATCGTATTCTGAACAAAACTCACCTTCTAACTGGTCATTTTAAGAACGTAAACAAACTCTTAATCTGGAATTAAATAAATGATCCATCCCTTCGCAACAACTTCTTCAATGTTTAAACACAATCTCATTTTCACACGTGGGAATAATTTGTCATTAAATTCGGTTAATTATCACTATAATATTAAATTGTTCAGATATTTTACACTTTCACGCTTTCAGAACAATTTCTATCGGTGCTAAACTGAAAATGGATCATTTCAGTTCACTAGCAAAATAAACTTGTCAAAACATGCCCATATAACCTAAATTAATCTTGTCATCATACATGAAGACCATATGACTGGGGAAGTTGCTCATAGTTGCTTTGAAGCAGTGAGTGGGAGGTTAAGTTACCTTGAAAATAGTGCACTAAAGCCAAAGCACCGTCACAGCAACCCGATATCACATAACTCCCGCCAAAATGTCAATTTTTAGACCAACGCCCCTTATGGGGCGCCCAAGAGACCTTTAAACATTTCATTATTATTTAGGTATTCATTCAATTTTTTTTTAAATGATTATTGATTTGGACACATCATAGCATATTATGAGGAAGCTTAACCTAAACTTTTATGCATACCTAACACAATGTGTACATAGGGGAATAGAAAGGTCGCGCATTGATAACGGCGCAGAGATACAACTATTCGTGCTCGATGGATGTCCGTGTTGCGTCTGCAAAATTGAAGGCGCGATAGTACGAAACGTGAACTCGCAATGTAATGAAGTGTCACTCAGATTCGGGAGGAAAGTTGAACGACGAGGCCCGAATACGTCTCTCCTATTTTCAGCTGTGTTGACACTCGATTTTTTCAATTTAATGTTTGATTATTTTCTTATAATGCATTTGTTGACCCATATCCCATATCTAAACGCTTATATGTATGTACCGGCCCCATACAACTTGCGGACCACGTGTTTTTAGCAAGCTTCGGGCCAGTTTGACTCGACTTGGGCATCTATAGTGTTGCCGATATTTACGGTTGTTATCGATATCCGTTACATCGATTTTTCCTAAAAATAAATCAATCCCAATATATATCCAGCTCCGAACTATCGATATTCACAAATATCAACCTAAAAATCGATATTTTACTAACACTTTGCCCTGCTGCAAATTGACTCCTAAATTGAGCCGAATTTCCAAAATATCGACGGCCTAACGTAGGAGCCGCACATCTTTGTAAGCGACGTTGCAAATTCTTCCTAATTTTGGATTTTTTTAAAGGAAAAATATCGATTATCTCCACTATTCTCTCATGAGATTGGCTGCTACAAAAATAAGGGATAAATCCCCGTGGGATGGAAGTTCTATCCTTCAAAGTTTCCTTCCTTACCCACAAAACTGTAGGTGTGACGTGTGAAATACACAAGTAAGCAGAAGAAAGAAAAAAAATCGATTCGATATTTCTAGAGATAAATGTAAGTGCCCCCTGAAAGAGCGCAGTGGTAGTAGAAGAAAATTTCACGAGGAAACCAATGGAACCACTTTTAGAACTCCAAAATGTTTTATTAACGGAGTTATAAGCTTTTAAAGTTTCCAAATTTTGTCCGACCTCTCCCATCGACTCGATCCACTGTGCGCTGTCGGGTCCCAGCAGCGACTGAGTTTTGTCTGTTTAAATGTACGTAAAATAATCGATAGCTATTAGAGATAGACTGCCTCACCTAGGATCGATTATTTACAATAGATTCAAACGGAATACAGTGTTTAATTAACTTGCGACAATGACCGCCAGGTCCCAACAGCGACTGGGTTTCGTCTGTTCAAATGTACGTAAAATAATCGATATCTGTAAGAGGTAAACCGCCTCACCTAGGATAGATTAGATTATTTACAATAGATTCAAACGGAATACAGTGATTCATCAACTTGCGACAAAGACCGCCAGGTCCCAACAGCGACTGGGTTTCGTCTGTTTGAATGTATGTAAAATAATCGATACCTATCGAGATAGACTGCCTCACCTAGGACCGATTATTTACAATAGATTCAAACGGAATTCAGCGTTTAATGAACTTGCGACAATGATCGCCAGGTCCCAACAGCGACTGGGTTTCGTCTGTTTAAATGCATGTAAAATAATCGATACCTATCGAGATAGACTGCCTCGCTTAAGATTTTATTTTTATTTATTTATTTTTTTATTTATTTATTCTTTTGCTTTTTGCACATTTGGCTTCACAAAAACGTAATTTTCTAAATAAAGGTACTGATAGGTATGAACATATTTACATACAAATCGTCTTAAATTCATTCATTGACATTCAAAAATTCAGATCGATTATTTACAATAGATTCAAACGGAATACACCGTTTAATCAACTTGCGACAAAGACCGCCAGGTCCCAACAGCGACTGGGTTTCGTCTGTTTAAATGCATGCAAAATAATCGATACCTATCGAGATAGACTGCCTCACCTAGGATCGATTATTTACAATAGATTCAAACGGGAAACAGTGTTACTAACTCGCGACGATACTCCGTCGTCGAAAGTGCGTCAAGCCGAGTCCAATCATCGGGAACAACACTCGAAGGACCGCGCGGCGTGGTGGCGACGGTGGTCACCAGTGACGAGGCGTGAATGATCAATTATCGATATTTCCCCATTTGGAGCTATGGTAAAGAATCGATTATGAAGGTGTTCGCTGCGAACGCCATGTTAATCGATCCTTTTTCATAGGTTTAAATGACAGATTAATCGATATATTGCAAACCACGCCACGCCACTGGTGGTCACTCACCCTTCTGTCTCACCCCCTCGATTTGCATGCTCCACAGATAGCACCAATGATCTGGAATGCTCAAACAGCCCTCCGAGAAATCGCCCTTTCATTGCTCCTCACCCCCGCCCCGCGTTACCAGATCGTCTTTTATTCGATTTTATTTTCACTTGCTCTGGAAGAAAAAGTCTCTCGAATCCAGAGTTCAGACTCCTCAAAAATATGACAAGAGAAAGTACTCATGATTCAATCGGATTTTAGCTAGAATCAAAAGGAAATCCGCTTAAATTTAGAGGCTTGACTCTCGATTCAGTCAAAAGTCTGATTGAATC